AGTTGAGACAGGAAGCCTATATGATACTTATGAAGACTGAGGAACACCAACACATCCCATTATATATACTCTGATCTCCCTCTTCCCTTTATCACCTCTTTTCTCATGGCTCAGATCTGTTGGTGGTATTTGTATCCTTACCCCTTAACAATTCTTTTAGACTTTTTTTCTGGTTCTGGGAAATGAACCAAGGGGTGATCTACCACTCGGCCACATCCCTAGACCCCCTCCCCTTTTAGGGGTTGAGTGCCCAGGGGCACTTAATCACTGAGTCATACCCCCCAGACCTTTTGTGTATTTTAAGACAAGGTCTTATTGAGTTGCTTAGGGCCTAAGTTACTAGGGCTGGCTTTGAACAGGCATGCAGCGGCACTTAACTCTAGTCCTTTTAAAGACAAGGTCTCACTAAGCAGCCAGAGCAGGCCTCAAACTTACAATCCTCAGTCCTTAGCCTCCTAAGTAGCTGGGATTACAGACTTGTGCAACTGTACCTGGCTTCTATTTCTAAAGGCTCAGTATTTGTGTACACAAAGGAGAGAATTAACATTTGCAGAACACTCTATGGGATAAATGTAGTATTTGACTTTTAAACCCATATCACATTGACTGTTACCACCTAATCCAAGATATTATTCATAGTTAAGCGTGAAAACCAAAGCTTTGAAAGAATAACTTGCCATAGGTCAAATAGGTAGTTGGGGCCACTGAAGTCTCATCTTTTTTGGAGAAACTTTTAAACATTCTAATTGTTGAGTTTTCTCTCAATGGTCTTTTATCCCATCAGAGATGGGGGTGGAAGATGGAAAGAGCAAGAACCAAGGATAAAAAAGTCCTCTCRCTTGTAATCTCAGAGATTCTAGGATACAGAAGGAAGAGCTGAAGTCTTTGTTAAGCCAGGTGTGGTGGTGCAGCGACTCAAAGAGGCTGAGGTGGGAGGATTGATCCTCTGCGTGTATCAATCCCCACCACAAAAACAACAACAAAAACTTCTTTAAAAACCTGATCCCAGCAGCTTGGGAGGCTGAGGCAGGAGTTCCACAATTTGAGACCAATCTCAGCAACTTAGTGAGGCCCTAAGGACTTAGCTAGATCCTGCCTCAAAAAATTAAAAGGGCTGGGAATGTGGGTCAGTGATTTAGCACCCCTGGGTTCAACCCCCAGCACAAACAAACAAACAAATAAATAAACAAAAACCCAAACAGTGAATTGTTCAGTTATCTATATGAAAGATTACAAGGTATCCCTTAAAGGGTATTATAATTTTTGGCAGTGCTGGGGATTGTATCAAACCCAGGGCCTTATGCATGCTATACATGCATTCTACTGCTAATCCCCAGGGTATTACTTTAGTTAAAAATCAGCTCTCCAAGAATACTGAGGAATTAAAAAAAAAAAAAAAAAAAAAGAAGTACCCAAAATTCAGTGATTTGGAAGTATTCACTTTATCAACTAGGTGATGATGAATCGATGTCAACTTGGGGAAGGTACTAAGACACATTTAACATGTTATTCAAATTATGCCTCAATAAGTTTATACTTGAAATATACAAGATTTCTTCATGAAGATAAGTGAAAAATATCCTAAGACCTACAGACATAACCCAAACTAACACCATATTTTTCCTTGTCACATTCCTCATGACCATTGATTAGATGAAGCTTTGGTTATTTTATTATATAAACTATAAAGCTTCCAACACCATTTCTGGGGCTACCTCTTGCTTGCTCAGAAAACATCAGGGGAAACAAAAACAACCAGAAAAAACAACCAGAAATCTGTACCTAACTTTCTTGTGACATGTTCACCTGCTTTAGTTCCTTATTTGAAACCAAGGACGGTTCAATTCACATGGCCCTATTCCCAGGCTATGTACACATTTGTCCTCATATGCCAACTGTGAAGAATATACCAGGAACAATCATAAGTAGGGAAAACCTACCATCAACTTTTTTTTTTTTTTTTGAGAGAGTGAGAGAGGAGAGAGAGAGAGAGAGAGAGAGAGAGAGAGAGAGAGAGAGAGAATTTTTAATATTTATTTTTTAGTTCTCGGCGGACACAACATCTTTGTTGGTATGTGGTGCTGAGGATCGAACCCGGGCCGCACGCATGCCAGGCGAGCGCGCTACCGCTTGAGCCACATCCCCAGCCCACCTACCATCAACTTTAAGTGAGGCTTACGTTTAGCAAAAGAGCTGGCTGGTTATTTTACTTGTCAATATAGACTAACATTCAATCATACTTATATAAAACCAAAATAAAGTATGTTCCACCCAACTTAAAAAAAAATCAGATTAAGTATAATACTATGAGAATGTTAGCAAAGTTTCCCATTTCAGAAATGGCGCCTTTATAAATGTTCTTCCACAGGCATAACACAGTCTGTTATAGTTCAGATTATGTTGGATAAATCCAGACTTTCATACTTTGGAAAACATAAAATATATCCAGTAGAGCACACTGGTTCAAGTGCTAGATTATTATACATTATCACTCTATGACATTATGGACAGCAAGTTATCTAACTTCTCAGTCTGTTTCCTTGTCTATCAAATGGTGGCAGTATTTATTGTTTTGAATGATACAATGTATTGTTTAAAACAGTGTAATATACTAAGTGCTCAATAAATTATTTTATCTAGATACCTCATTCTGTTCTAATGTATCATTTTGCAGGTGGTTCTTTTTAAGCTACACTACATTTGGGTTATATATCAAAAGATAATCATTTATTATCTAAATTTCAGAATAACACTCATACTTTAGAAAGAAATGTTAAAAATGAACTAATTCCTGATTCTCATGTTCAGAATTCTATACCGCTGGAGAAGTCATTTTTACATTCTGTTAACCCACCTCTAAATTTCACCGTCTTGTGCTAATAAACATGCTTTAACACAACCCATTTTCTCCTGAAAGCTACACGGTAGCCCCGCATACACCAGCACACATGGATTGACTCAGTTTGTCTTTAAAGCTCATTACAATTACTCCTAAAATATTTAACTTTAGGTAAAGAAGAAAAACATTTCTCTATATACACTATGAAAAACTAGAGTTTGACTTTAACACAAAAAAAAAATTGAAAATACAATCTTTTTGTTTCCCAAGAGAAAATGACATATACCAGGACCCTGTGAGTCACAGAACAAACTTGACTCCCTAACCAACATGAGAAATGGCTAAGATTTTAAGTTTTCATGGAATCAAGATGCAACCAAAGCCTGACTAGAAGCAAACAGGACATGATCATTAACCACATTGTTTAGAGGAAGAGTCCCTACTATTTTAGACAGTTTAATCATGTCTAAAATGTTCAAACTATCACTTGGAAGAAAAGCTGTGCCTAATAGCTTCATTTTTTAGCATGCTTCAAACTTTACCAACAAAGAGGTAAAGCCTTCAAACTTTTAAAAGGAGATGCTTATAACTTTCAAATGGCTAGGTGACATGCTTAGGAACAAATTTAAGAATAAGCTTTCTTCATCAAAGAATAGAAAGGAATATTGTTACTTATTAAGCAGCATTACCAATGTTACTTCACTCAACAACAGGCCGATTAGTAATAAATTCATATTTTAGACTGCTTCAGAGAATATAATGTGAACCTTCCTCCAAACAAACAGAACAAATACTTTAAACAACAATCTACAAAAATCAATATACAACTGAAGGCTTCAAGTAACATGACAGAAAATCCTAGTGACAAAGAAGTACTTAGCATCATAATGGCTCATGACCTACATTACTCTTTTACATTTTTGGAATTATTTTTTTTCTTCTATTGTGGTACAAATTCCCATAAAAATTAATAAGCAAATCTGATATTCATCCTATCACTGCAAATGCAATGCCAATGACAAGCATGAGCTGAAAACCAGATTCTTGTGCTGAAATCAACTTTCCAAAGTCCTGGGACAAAACCACTATGCTAATCTAAGAATGCACAGACTGAAGAATATGTAATGTTCCACTTTTAGGGGCCACTTCCGGTAAGTAAAAACTTTCTACGACTGGGAAAGTCAGGAAGTGAGGAAACAGGAATACTCTGGCACCTTCCTCAAATGAGCATTATTAAAAAAAAAGAAAAAAAAAAGGCTAATCTTAATCTAGTTTAACTCTTCTCAGAATGGATACACCTACAGTTTCTTACTAAAACTTAAAACTGGAGACAAGAAGTTCACTTAATTCAGTTCTGAATTTCAACAAGCACCCTCTACAGTGATATCATAAAAGTTCCACCGGAAGGTCAACAGGAACTCTATTATTATGGCCCATATCAAACAGTCCCACTATCCGGAATTCTCCTGGATATACACATATAGGTTTGTCAACCAAAAGCAGCCCCCACCCACCCATGCCGCACACGTTGGCATTTTCAGTTTATAGGCGGGTCCTGGAACAGCTAGAAACCAGGAAGCTCCAGGATAATTAGAGGACTTGAAGGAACTCATCCTGGGAGAGGTGGGAGACCCTCAGAAATCATAAGGAGCTAGAATGAGGATGTCTCTGTCCACCTCTCCTTCTCGCCCCATCCAAACTTCACCCGGGCCTTAAAGTCCAAGAGGGGGAGGCCATTTTAATAAGGCCTGGCTGAAGAACGTGAAGGGAGGAAACCAGGGAAGGACGTTCGGAAAGGAAAGCCAAGTACTTTTCCCCAAAAGCAGTCGAGTCTGGTGTCAGCACCTGGAGCCTGAAGAGTGAGGAGCAGGTCTTAAGGGCCTGAGAGGGGTACAAAAGTAGTAGTGGCTTATCACGAGGGGGGGGTCGCATGGTCTGAGCCCAGGGAGCGCAGGCCCCTTACCCCCAAGTGGGGGAAAGACCCCTTCTCCGGCCAACAGCTCCGACCCTCGCCCCTGAGTCAGAGGCTACTACCCAGAGGTCCAGAAGGCGGGAGTTGGCTAGTGCCGGGTTCTCCTCATCCGGCCATGCGGCGCGGGGGCGGCCATCCTGAGGGGTCCGGGATCCAAGAGGGCACGGGGGGGCCGGACGCGGCGCTCACCCGCGGGCCGCCTCCAAGCTCTTAATGAGCTTCTTGATCTTCCAGATCTCCACGTTCCTGTCGGCAGCACTGGGGTCGTCCGCCATCTTCTCGCCTCCTCCTCCCTAGAGCGGCCCGGCGGGGCCCGGAGACACCAAGACCACAGAGTTAGCGCCGCCGCTGGGGCAGAGCGGCCCCCTTCCTTGCTACCCCCGAAAGGCCCTCCTCTCCCCGCCCCGCGCGGCCCGCCGGATAGGTCACTGGCCTTTCCCTCCCCTGTCTCACCTAAAGGCCCAGTCCTGGGCGGCAGCGGCTGCTCCTCCCCGGCGGCGGCTCCGCGGCGGCGGCGGCTCTGACGTAGGACACCGGCTCCCTCTCTCCAGGCAGCTGCATGTGTTGCAATCCGCTCACATGGGGCCTGTGATATCACTTCCTCCGCCAGGGGCGGAGTGGAAGGCGGCGGGCGGAAGGGAGGGGGCTGGTTCTGATGAAGAGAAGCTCTGCGCGCGCCGCGACTTTCCATTGGCCCTTTGTGCCGCGGCCTACAACGGGCCTGGTGATTGGTTGCAGCTGCGGCCGCACTGCCTTGTGAGGTAGAAGCAGGGGGCGGGAAGTACCGCATTTCTTCCGTCCCGGCATGCAGAGAGTAGGAAGCGGGCGGAAGCCAGCGGCTCTCGCGACGATTTGCTTAGAGCTTCGCCAGGCTCCAATGGGGGTGGCTCTTAAAGGGCGAGGCACGGGGGTCTTCGTATTTTGCTTTTTCTTGAGTGAACAGGGTAGGCACCTGAAGCTCTGCGACACAAGAGAGGAGCTTGGGGCTCGACGCGCACGTCCAGTGTTGCTTCAGAAGGCTCAAAGGAACGTCTCGGGCTAAGTGACTTCGCTGACGAAGTGTTTGGGCCTGTGTGCGTCACTGCTTCGAGGACTAGTGTTCAGAATCCTGGCCAGTGAGCCCGGATCAGGAGCCTGAACTACCTGGTCCGGGACCCTCATCCACAGGGGCGAAGGAGGCACGTTCCTTGTCGCTCTGTATGGGTTCACTGTGGACTTGGAACTGTGTGAGGTTTAAGAAAGCAGGAGTGTCTGAGATAAGAGACCTGCGGTATTTTGACTCCACGTATATAGTTTGGTCTGAGCTGTCTAGTCTTGATTCCATGTATGTTTGGTCTGGAGCAAAATTGRTAGCTGTATATATTAGAACTTTTTTGTATTTGAGCTAAATTTTTTTAGTTGGCCATTTGGTCCCTCTCATCTCAGGTTCATTCAAATATTTGAACCCAGACCGTGTGCTACATTCTGTTTTCCTGAGGATACAGGAGTGCATCAGACAGGTAACAGTGCCTACCCTATTGGAATTTACTGTCTAGTTGGGTTTATAATCGTTTTCGGGTTTTTTTTTTTTTTTTTTTTGGCGCGGGGGCGGGGTACCGGGGATTGAATCCAGGTGTGCATACTGGACCACAGTCCCAGCCCTTTTTTGTATTTCATTTAGAGGCAGGGTCTCGCTGAGTTGCTAAGTGCCCGCCAAGTTGCTGAGGCTGGCTTTGAACTCGCAAATCCTCCTGCCTCAGCCTCCCGAGTCTATGGGATTACAGGTGTGCGCCACCGCGCCCGKCTTCTAATATCTTGGTGTAATAATCTAATTGTACAGATAAATTGTACTTAAGGCTCTAAGTGTGGATGATGGGAGATCCAACTCTGAAATGAGGCGTAAAAGATGAATAGAAGTTGGTCAGTGAGGCGCATAGCACGTTTGAGGAACTACAGAATTAACCAGTGCTGGAGCAGGGGTTGGGGAGTGTGGTTTGAGGAAGCAACAGGGAAGGGTTCACATAGTGGCCTTTTAAGCTGTTTGGCTTTTTTCTCTAATTATTTAAAAGACTTTAGAGCCCTTGCCTGGATTGGAGAGGGCAAAAGTAGAAACCTATAGACCCTTTTGGTCGCTTCAGTACGATGTGAAAGATGACTGTAGCTTAGAAGAGGGTGGCGGCAGTGCAGATGGAAGTGAATGAATAACGATACGGTATATATGAGGTTAATCTGTATGGATTGGACCCATATATGGCCTGGATAAGAAAGGAAGAAAGGTTCCCATAGAGTACTGAAATGATGACATTTACTGAGGTAGGAAAGAGGAGGAACAGGTTTTGCTCTGGGATAATTGAGAATTTCATCTTAGAAGATGTTTAAGTAGTGATGTCAGTCATGCAGTTGCGTTTATTTGGGCTTTAAATACTTTTGGCATGTTTTCTCAACTTTGTCTACACTTTGGAAACGGGAGTGTCACCCCCATTTCATGCATGGGAAAATTGAGGTAAAGAAAGGTGAAAAGGTCTTGCTCAGTCACTCAGCTAGTTTGTGCTTTCCCAGCTCCATATTCATTATTCAGTGCATAATATGATTATGCACTGATTACCTATCTCTCCATAGGGTGGGAACACAGACTTCTATGGGGCAAGTTTTCTTTCCCCCTAAAAGCATCTCTTTAGGTTCTGTTTTAATTTCCAGTATGTTGTCTCTCATTGTATAACATTGTACTCCAGCTCTGCCTGTTATTCACTGTGCTTGGCAGTAAGGTCTTATTTTTTTTTTTAGTTGTCAGTGGACCTTTATTTATTTACATGTGATGCTGAGAATCAAGCCCAGTGCCTCACACATACTAGGCAAGCGCTCTGCCACTGGGCCACAACCTCCGCCCCAGTGAGGTCTTCTTAAATATACTGTTTACTGACTAGGGTCTACTGTGTCCTAAGCTTCTCTCTACTTCATTTCCCTTACCCTACTTTCTATATTAGGTTTCCTTGCTTTGCCTTCCTTTTGTTATGTTTAGATTGTGTCTTTAGGTTCCTTTGAAGACTTTCCAAGCTTTTTAGACCAGCTTATGGTTTCATCTGGTCACATCTCAGGTGGAATTGGTATTTGTCAATCTTTGAATTTTTTTGGGGGGGCAGTTACTGGGGATTGAACTTGGGGATGCTTGGCCACATCCCCAGCCCTATTTTGTATTTTATTTAGAAACAGGGTCTCACTGAGTTGTTTAGCACCTTACGTTGCTGAGGCTGGCTTTGAACTTGTGATCCTCCTGCTTCAGCCTTGTGAGCTGCTGGGATTATAGGTGTGCACCACCATGCCTGGCTAACCTTTGAATTCTTGAAATGTGTTTCAATATTGCAGCTCCAGGCAGTTCAACTGTATCCCCAAAAGCTCATTTGCCTAATTGCTGCAAATTCACCATCTCTGCATTTAAACTTGGATTCCATCAATGCATTAGAGGCAGAGGCTCTTACAGGAGAGAATTTTGGAAGGAATGGAACGGGAAGCTAGTAAGTGAAGGCTTTTAAAATGGAACGATGGGGGTGCTGGGGTTGTGGCTCAGTGGTAGAGCGCTTGCCTAGCATGTGCAAGGCCCTGGGTTCAATCCTCAGCACCACATTAAAATAAGGTACTATGTGCAACTAAAAAATATTTAAAAAAATAAAGTGGAACTATGATCATTTAGGGTTGAGAAGGAAACTTGTGATGTCAGGGTGATGCTGATTTTTCAAACTGCTACATGGTAAGAGTAGAATATATAACCTGTGATTCTCTGAATAATGAAGGAGTTGTTCTTGATTATCAAATCTTGTTCAAGAGTTTTTATAAAACTTACTATAGATTATATAGAACCTATGTGGGTATATTGCAGCACTTCTGTAATCTCAGCTACTCAGGATACTGAGGCAGGAGGACTGCAAGTTCAAGACCAGCCTGGGCCACTTAGCAAGACCCAGGGCTGGGGATGTAGCTCAGTAATAGAGTAACTCTGGGTTCAATCCCTATTACTCCTACTCCCTGACCCTCACATCTCTAGAATCTCTCCTTTCTTCCCAGAGGTCTTTGCATTGGCTGAAAGTTCCAGCCCTCTAACCAGCTGGTCTTTCTCGTGATCAGCCCCTCCAGAAGTTTCCTTTGGGCCCCTCTCCTAAGTGCTTAAACTCAATATAAACTGCAGCCATCTGAAGAGGCTCATATGAACAACAAAAGAAACTCAGAAAATTCCAAGGATTCAAGAGCTGTCATGGAACTGAAAACTTTATCGTATACCACAGCTAGGGTATATAAAGACCCAATACTTTAAATTGTAATTCTGAAAGGCTCTAAATTCCTAACAGTTGGTAACACATCAGCCTCTTATGCAGGATGAAAGATCCTACATACCCATTCTACAGACTCTGTCTTTCTACCAGGATAAACAAATCTCCAGGAATTATACTTTGGATTTGCTTTATCTTAGTCTCATAACTTTATTTTCTGCCACAGATTTAATGAGTTTCTGGGTTGGTGAATGCATCCTTGAACTAGGAAGATTCTGTACTCCAACTCTACAGGAATAGAAATTCCTGCACTCAGAGGACGCTCATAAACCAAACTCTTGTGTACTTCTTCATTTGGCTGTCCATGTGCATCTGTTGTAATATCCTTTATAATGAAAGGCTAAATTGAAATAAAGTTTCCCTGAATTCTCTGTTCCACCACCATAGCAAATTACCAAACGCAATTAGGGTTAAAGGATCCCTGATTTTATAGTCACTTAGTCAAAAACAGGTCACAATCTGGAACTTGTGATTGGCATCAGAAGTGGGGAGAGCCATATAACTTGTGGGATCTGATTCAAATTCCAGGTTGATAATATCAGAAGTTAAAAGTGAATCATAGGATACCCAGCTCGTGTGCAGAAAGTTGAAGTGCTTGGTGTGGAAAAAACCCACCATTTGACCATGACCAAAGCAGCATTCTGTGTTGAGTGTAGAAAAATGGAATTTGTATTTCTTCATTAATATAAATTAAATGAACAACATTTTCCTGGGTGTCTTAATAGTTATATGTCTTGTCTGCTCTGCCCCTGATCAGAGATTTTTTTGAGGGGGTGGTACTGGGGATTGAACTCAGGGGCACTCAATCATAGAGCCACATCCATAGCCCTATTTTTTTTTATATTTATTTCTTAGTTGTAGATGGACATAATATCTTTATTTCATTTTTTTTTTCACATGGTGCTGAGGTTTGAACCCAGTGCCTTTCGTGTGCTAGGTGAGCACTCTTATCACTGAGCCACAACCCCATCCCCAACCCCCTCCCAGCCCTATTTTGTATTTTATTTAGAAACAGATATCACTGAGTTGCTTAACACCTCAACATTGCTGAAGTTGGCTTTGAACTCCATCCTCCTGCCTCACCCTCGTGAGCTGCACCACCATGCCTGTCCAGAGAGTTCTATATATTTTTAAAATTTTAAAATATTTTTTCACTTGTAGGTGGACACAAAACCTTTATTATTACTTTTAAGGTTTTTTTAGTTGTAGTTGACACAATACCTTTATTATTTATTTTTTTAGTTGACACAATACCTTTATTATGTATTTATTTTTATGTGGTGATGATAGGATCAAACCCACAACCTCACACATGCAAGGCAAGTGCTCCACCACTGAGCTATGCCCCCAGCCCCAGAGTTCTGTATTGAGGCTGGGGTATACTCAGTGGTAGAGCGGAAAAAAATAGTTTGAAAAGTATCTGTGGATTTGGTTATCTCTAAGGCACTTACAACTTCAGTAAGTCCCAGCAAGATGCAGTGGCACATACCTGTAATCCCAGCAATTTGGAGGGCTATATCCTGGAAAATTAAAACCAATTTTGTGGCCCAAGGTTTTTCTGGGTAGCACACAGAATGGGAATGACCAGAATAAATGGCAATCCTATCTCAGTCCACTTTGTGCTGCTATAACAATACTGACTGGGTAATTTATTATGAATATATTGGTTCAATTATGCAATGTGGAGAAATCCCAGAATCAAGAGCCACCTTGCTGATACCAAGTGTGGTGATGCATGCCTGTAATCCTGGCTACTAGAGAGGTTGAAGCAGGAGTATTACAAGTTTGAGGCCAACCTGGGCAATTTAGTGAAACCTTGTTCTAAATTTTTAAAAAGTGCTCTGGGTTTAGCTCAGGTATATATATATATATATAGTGCTTTCCTATCATGAGGTCCTGGGTTCAATCCCCAGTGTCACCAAATGGGGGCGGGGGAGCATTGCTGCATAATCCAAACAGAAGGGCAGCAGGCAAGAGAGGAAAAAAGACGGAACTTGTAGCCTCAATCTCTGGCATTTGTGAATTCATGAGCCATGCAGACTTCCCTTGTATGATCTTAAAAAAAAATTGTATGCCATTTACCTCAGTTGATTTTTTTTCTTTTTAGTTTCATACATTCTTGGGAAAATAATATGGCTGAGCAGGGTGGTGCACACCTTTAATCCCAATGGCTCAGGAGGCTGAGGCAGAAGGATTGCAAGTTCACAGCCAGCCTCAGCAACTTAGTGAGTCCCTAAGAAATTTGGTGAGACCCTGTCTCAAGGAAAAATGCTGGAGATGTGGCTCAGGGGTTAAGGGCCCCCTGGGTTCAAACGTTGGTACTTAAAAAGAATGGCACACACCAATAATCCCAGCTAAAGTGTAACCTTAGCTATTTGGGAGGCTGAGAAAGGAGACTTGCAAGTTTGAGATGAGCCTTTTCTAATTATTTTCATCTTGTTGKCCATGGTGACACATGCCTGTAGTTCCAACTACAGAGGCTGGGAAAGGATTACCTGGGCTCATAAAATTATAAGAATAGTCTGGGCAATGTGGAAGACCCCAATTTATTTTTTTTAAAAGAGAGAATTTTTAAATATTTCTTAGTTTTCGGCGGACACAACATCTTTCTTTGTATGTGGTGCTGAGGATTGAACCCAAAGCCGCACGCATGCCAGTCGAGCGCACTACCGCTTGAGCCACATCCCCATGAACCCAAATTCACCTTTTGTCTTGGCCTGGAGATGGAGAGAAGCATACGTGAACGCATAAATTTGATCCACAGCACATTATCAATTAGATTTGGTATAAGCTCCCCCACCCCCATTGTGAGTTTGACAGACAAGGATGCAATTTATAAATCAATAACCAAAAGGCTTTAATTTCTAAAATGGAAATGTAATACCACCCTGAATTTTGGACAGTAGAGGTATTTTGAAATATTTTAGTGTTTATGTGCTAGGAATCATTCTGGGTGCAGAGACATTGTCAATGAACAATTTTTGGTGTTAATATAGCTTACATTTTAGGTGGGGAAAGGACAAATTGAATAGTAAAAAATGCTAAGAGGAATAGGAAATGACAAACGTGAGAAGGGGGGCTATTTTTATATTTCTCTCTCAAAAAAAAAAAAAAAAAGTGATAGGTGAGTCAAATGGAAATGTTGAGACTGTTCCATCAAGGGATAAAAGCCAGAAGATAAAATTGGGAGAAAAGAGTAAAGTGGTAATGAGGGGCCACATCATGTGAAGCTGTAGGCCTTGGGAAGAGCTTAGAGAAGGGGAGTGCCATCTCACTGCTGTGAGAAAATACCAATGTACCAATATAGCAATGGTTTAAGTGGATAGACTGGTCAAAACTCAGGTAATCCAAGGTAATTTACAATAAAAATAGTAGAGATGGTAATTCTTTACATACTTTGGTAAGATTTGATGACTGCAGGTTTTGGTTTGAGCAACTTTAAAAAAATATACATACATTGGTACTGCAAAGACCAACTTAAGGAAGGAATAGAAGCAAAAAATTGCAAATTACACTTGTTATCCTATCAAGTACTTATAACAAGAGACTTTCAAGTAGAGGAAATTGTGTTCTTTCTAATGTGTGAAATATCGAAGTAAGYGCCCTGATGGGATATAAAAGGTAGAAGAAAATTGGAATTCTTTGCTTGCTTTAGCAGATGCATTCATCTTGGATAAACCATTAGTATTCTCCAGCTTGCACACAGTGGATCTCCATAATCATGAGCAAATTTCTTATAGTGAGCCTCAGACCATATAATATCCTATTGGTTTATATCTTTGGGAAATCCTAATGAAATTTTTTTTCATGTGTACTTTTTTAATTAGAGATTTATAATTACATATAGTGGTTGGGTTCATCTAATGAAATTTTTTATGCTATTACAGCTTAGATTGAGAGAGAACTGAATTACAGTTCAATGTGTTTATYTCTCCTACTGGGCACCTTAAGTCAATAGCTATAGATATCTACTCAAGTACCCTTTCCAGTAGAACCCAGATTCTGTTCAGGGTATGCTTCAGTCCCAAGGGTAAACCTTGATTAAAACATGCTATTAATGATCAGTCGGGGTACTTGGAAATCTTGGAGGACAGTTTAGCTACCATACTGATCTGAACACAGCTGAGCATCTTCCAACATAACACAAACCATCTTTTATGACAGAATCATCGTAGGTTCCTATCAAGTGTTCATGTGGCTGAAAACCTGAGTATCATCAACTCACACAAATCCTAATAATTTTCACATGGGTGTTACGAAGTGGACAAGTGAATTTTCTAGTTATGCAATGTAGAAATCACTCACTTCCTCCACATTAGGGCATTGTATTGTATTCACCTTAAAAATGGGAATTTCTGATAGGCATGGTGGTACATGCCTGTAATGGACGCTGAGGCTCTTAGCAATTTAGTGAGACCCCTATCTAAAATACAACCCCCCCCCAGAGCCCTATATTTCTAAATACCATTAAATTATAAAGGAGCTATGTTACATGGTGTAAGTTTACTTCAGTATCCATGAAATTCAAAGAGAAGTATGTTCAGAGACATGGGAAATAATTCTACTTAATGAGACATAAGAAAAATATCACTTAAGTCATTGGCATGTGATATTTAAAAGTACATCAAAATTTGGGACAAGCCAATATACTGAGGATGGGAAATCACAAACAGATCAAGAATCTGGTTTCCTTATTTTTGAAATCACTCAAAATACATCTTATGACTACTACCTATCAGTTTCTTCAACTTAAGCCAGGCTTGGTTGTATACATTTCTAAGCTGACAGCAACCTGAATAAAAGACCTGGTTTTTGAAATAGACATCTAAAATTTGCCTGTGACTTTTTATACCAATCCTTCTGAATCTTTGGATTTGTTCGTCTCTTTATCCAGTGCTAAAAAATCCTGTTTTCTTCCTTGGAAAATATGGAAAGAGTGACATGTCATAGTCCTGAAGCTAAACTGCAGCTCACACCATAAAAACAAGAAATCAAGATGTTTTCTCATATTTATTTTTTAAAAAATCCAGAATGGATCAAAAAGAACAATCTCAAGGATGTAGGTGCCAGATGCGCCAGAGGGTAGCTAGAAAAGTATGCCTTAGGAACATTAGGGATTTAAGAACTACCTTATTTTAAGCTACCTAACATAAATAGCTTAGTTTTCCACTGACCAGCTTCCTCTGTCCCACCTACTACAACTGTAGCACAGCTATCTCTCTTGCGCTGCAAGGCCTCAGCCGAAGGACCCTGAGTACACATCGGCTATTACAGCAGTGCTCTTGACCAACTAGGATCTTCATCCT